TGTTTATCAGAATGGCAAATCATAAAATGACTGCTTTACGACTGATTTGAGCGCGACCGCCGCTGTGAAAACCGTTGTGTGAGTTCGAAAAGTGAGTTACAGAATCGCAGGGCACCAGTCACCAATGCTGCAAATGATTTCGCAACTGACGCTCGCTACCGTTTCCATAGTTCTGCATTTGACAGACTGAGAGACGAATATCAGATGTTTTTGTTTCTTAAATAGTATTACAATTTGATGCTAATAATAATAATAGCATTTCCAAAACTTAATAATTAACATTGACGTTTCATTTGTATGGATCCTAAAACGTTTAGGAACTATCATATGCTTGCATGATCAGGTTTTAGTTTGTCCAGCGCTGGACATAGGATTAGGCCCCCTCCATCCGGTTCCACTAGTGTCTGTCGTGGCCAGGCGCGACTAGGTGACATTTCGACACTTGTTTTAATTCGGTGTACTGTGTCATTATACTTTTCTTGGATATTCTTAGATTTTTCAATCAATCAATCAAAATCATTTATTCATATAGGTAACACAATGTACACTTGAAGAAATATACATTAAATGCTTCTAATTTTACATTTACTGCCAGTTCTCAAATCAAGGGCGTAGAACGAAAGAGAAGAACTGGCAATAAACTCAAGACAAAACTATTCGTAGCAATAACGACCGTTATTCTAAATTGAATCCGGGCGACGTCGACCAATAGTTCCTACAGAATTTCTTCTAATTAAATTAATACCGCCCAACTTAGTCATAAAAACCTCTTAATTGGAGATGTTCAGAATGCCTTAATCCCATTAATTACTCAGAAAACCTCGACGACACGTTTCGGCAAGTTATTATGTGTCACTAAGTGACTCTGTGATGTCTCATTTAGAGATTTCAACTTAATGAACTTTCTTAAAACAATGTTATTAATTCCTCTGTAATTACCCGGTTTTGCCAAAGAGTTGGATATACCAGAATTCTATCCTCGAAATTATTAGCTTTCGCTTGTCAAAAGATAAGATTTTAACGTATAATTTGTATTAGAAATGTTTATTTTATTGACAAAAATACGTACACTAACTTTACGATAGCCAAAACGATAATGTCGAAAACAAAAAATAATATTAAATACATAACAAAATTGCAACTGTAAACCTGAGTTTACACTGCAGACTGATCTGCGAACATATAAAGATGTCGATAGCGTCGAAGTCTTTGTTAATGGGGATCTGTGCAACGGATTGGTTCAGGCCCTTGGTATCGCAAACAACCTTCGACGTCTCACATCTCCTAGGTAGAAAGAAACCGAATTTTTGGAGAACACTTGCTCACCACCCCCGCAAGACTTTCAGTATATAGGCCAACTGTAAGTATGTTACGACCTCAGGGATGAGAGTCGTAGGCCGAAGCCACTATGCCAACACTGCTCTAAACTACTTCATTTTACAATAAATGTTAAATAAAGTTGATAATTGACAGATGGAACATTTGAGTATTGATTGCGTTCTTTGCACAGATTACAATAGTGAAAAAATAACTGTCACAAAAAATAATTTGAATCATAAATATTTTAACTTTGTAACTGTGTAATTACAAAAATAATACAAAAAAATAATCACATAATCGTTTGAGACATTGTATACAATTGTATAAAATGCAACTCTTACTGAAATTTGTATAATAATGACGTCATTTAACAACAAAACCCAATTCACCTGATACAAAAACTCAATGTCGTGATCGCTATCGCTATTGGAAGACACAAGTGCGGTTTGAGTGAGTTTCGTTGGATCAATGTATTTTTTTCTTTATATTTCTCACACATACACGTCCATAGCTCTGCGACCAATAATGTGTCTCAACCACTGAATCGAGATCTTCCACCGTTCCCTGACCTGGACCACATCCCGCCAGTTGCTAAGTGGCGAAATCCTATTATGCAATAAACAAAATTATACGTTATAAAAGTAAATTTCCTTCTTTGGGTTTATTGAAATAAAAATAACGAGATACAGATATATATCATAGCTAAGAAAAATGACGCAGATTATAAACTTAATAGATTAACGTAATGTCATTCAATAATTATCTTCTAATTTGTCTTCTTTTCAAATTATTCTCTTGATTTAATGTATTCTAACTTTTGTTATCGGAATTGTTTTCATCATTTATTCTACATATTAAAGTAAAAATGTCAAGAAATACACCCACCATGTTATAGTCCCACGGTCGAGTAATTACATACTATAATTATATCAATCTCACACATCGTGACAGCGAATCAAATCATTAACACTTCTTTAATCGTTTCTAATCGACCAATCGAGGCGGCCATTTTGTATAATCGCAGTGAAATGGCGCGATTTTTTTATCGCGGTAAAATTTTATTCTATTTTTAAACACCATGTTAAACTACAATTACTTACGACATCATTGTACGTAATTTAAAATAATTATGTTTAAAATATATAATGAGACAATATTTACATGGAATATTCGAAATAAATTTAAAAGTGGAATTTTAATTTTTTTAAATTGGTAAACACACACAATCAAATGAAATTTTTGAAATGCGAATAAAAAAACAATCATATTTATAACTAAAGCCTGTCTTTAAAATTACTGTCACTGACATTTAGACGATTTTCCCTTTGGAACGTTTACGACACAATTGCCAAGCATTATCAAAATTCTTGAATTGCAGATGCTATAACCAGTTCAAAAGGACTAGTAGCAGTACAGCTAGTAGCAAAGATTCCTCCCAATCATTAAGTATAGGGCAATAAATCTAAAAAGGTCTGGAGCCGAAGCGTGTATTATGTTATTACGATGGCGCGCGCGCAAAAAGACGCGCTTATTTGAGTATGCGATGATACAGTACAATTAAAGGGATGGGATCGGCGCATAGCACGCGGGCCCTTCTTGCCAACGCGTTTCAGATTCCAAGGGTTTGGGGTTCCTTGACAAATCTTTGAAATTTTTGTGCTTTTGCGCATCGCAAGGCGTCCATCAATTTTTCAAATTACCCTTGGACTATAATTAAAATGAGACATACGCATACACATATAAAAATTATATTTTAATTATCATAGAACCATTAAAACCTTTAATTTACTGCTACATTTATTCGTACGGCGAAGGAAAACATCGTGAGGAAACCGGCATTCCTTAGACCTAAAAGTCGATGGCGTGTGTAAGTCACAAGCTGATCACCTACTTGTGTATTAAAAATGATCATGAAATAGAAATCTAAGGCCCAGACCTAAAACGGTGTGGCGCCACTGCATTTTTTATAATTTTTCATACCCAGACTATTAATATAGAATAATATTAAAAACCGTAAACACCCTAAATAACGTGACATTGGTTGACGCTAGTTTATTAAATGTAACAAACACTACAGCTGTTGATAGAACGGCTAATTAAACTAGTTGGCTGCGACAGCTATATACAGTTTGCAATATATATATATATATATAATGCATAGAATATTCATCAGATTGTTTACTTAGAATGTGAGGAAAACAGTCTAACAGATGCCTATCTATATAATTTACAATGTACCAAATGAAGGAATTTAAATCGAATAAAGTAGCCTAGCTGTTTATCTAAATGTGAATTTCGCACTAATTTTGCATTTTTAGTCAATAATTTTCTCTCGTACTTTTTTCACGTAATAAGGTATGGTTCATAAAGCCGTAACATCTCTGAACATACTCGGACTATTAATATCCTACCTTTGTTTATTTGTCTACTAGAAATAGTAATACATATATTATATCTAAATTAAGGTGCTTAAAACTATTGTAGATAGTATACAATGTCCAACAGCAAGGCAACAAAAAACATCACCGTTACATAATAAATACCGTTTTTTTAATTTTCATTGCTTATTTAGAATTATAGCACTGTCTATAGGGCGTGTGCAGAACACCGAAATCTAACACCATCTGTTCTTGTTTACAATTAAAAAAGAGTAGTATGAAAGACACATTATTAATAAAAAAGCTGAAGAAATTGTAATCATAAAAAAGACATCGAAGTACCTACCGATTACACTGATTTTGTTATGAAGATAGTTAAAAAAAAGATGAAAACAAAATTAACGCAAATATTATATAACTCATATTAATCAGATAATGTAATAATAATTTAAGGAAATAGCTAATAGGTTAGTGGATATCACAGGAGACCGAAGAGCTGGCAGCTACCTCGGACAAAGATTTTGTCTAGCTATTCTAGGGGGAACGCTGCCAGTATCTTCGGAACTTTGCCTAAAAGCACTACTTTTAAATTCTGTAATTTGATTGTTGTATATAAAATAGATTTAATATAATATATTTTAATAATGTGATTAGGTAGTGAAAAAAAGATACGGATTAACTATAATCATAAGATTGATGATGTAATCTAATAACTCACTTCTATGTAAAATTCTACCTTTTAATTATGTAAGACAAATTCGCACACCATTATTACCATTATATGTGGCTAAATATGCAGAATATTTTTGTACCATATTCTTGCAAATAAATAAATAATTATTATTATAATTGGTCATTTGTAGCTTTTGGATAGCTTCTACTCAGCTTTGTGTTCTAACCGCGACCTAAAGCCAACAATATTTGAGCCTTATATGGAGGTGTTTCAATGTATGTAAACGCACTGTACGGGCCATTTAAATTCAGCATTTCATCAATCATTGATGTTTTATAGAAAGTTTGATCAATCATTAAACTCACTTTATTATTGCGATAAATCTCATATATATGCCCAAATAGAGAGTGAAAGACAAGAACAAGACGAATAGCGAAAGAAAGCTATTTATTCAAAGGTATTTAAAAATTTATAATATCAGTTAAATTTTATACGCAATTACAATACCATGTTAACTTTGTGATTTGTAATTAAGTTTGTGTTATTGTTATTCGTTTCATATACCAAGAACTCGTAAATGTTTATAATTAGTTTTGTTCCGCTCGTGGCGTACGTATTAACTTATAAACATGCTGTTTATATTGTTTTTAATAATCGTATTAATTTATTGGAAATTAAAAAAGCATTATGATTATTGGAACAACCGTGGTGTGGTCACTGACAAGCCGATTTTATTCCTTGGAAACCTGACATTCTTTTTGAGGAAGGCCAGCTGGGACTATTTTTATGGATTAAAGCGGTATCAGACTGTTTGCGTGGGCATTTTTTTGGGTTGGCAACCAGCGATCGTGGTGCAGTCGCCGGAGCTTGCTCGAAAGGTATTGGTTGAAGACGCAGACTGCTTCCAACATAGATCTGCTCATACAGGAAGCCACCAGGATCCGATTGGCGCGAACGGTGTTATGTTGGCCAGGGTAAGTGTAATGAAATTTTAATTAATACTTAGTATATATTTATTTATACCCTTGCCATGTCTGGATTTAAATTTCGCTATAGCATTATTCAATACGTAATTTGGCAAGAGCCGCTAAATGCGCAGACGACATTTTTTACTAAGTAGGTACATAATTATTATTATTGTGAACTTTTGTCTCTTTACCAAAAATTGTATATTTATAAATAAAAAACAAGGACATTACCATATCGAAAAGATTAAGTGTTTATTCTTCTTCTTTTACGGTACACTCTTGACAGAACAGTCGTGATCGCTAACTAGTAGTAGTATTAGATGGGGCAGATGTGATGCGCTTCACGACGTTTCGCCACCGTTGACTATTAGAGGACATCCTGCTGCACTCATTGAGTGAACCTCCTACGGCTGACTTGTTCTGGTCAGTACTTAATACTAATAAAGGTTAATTAGTCTGAAATTTACAGGGCCCACTAAAAAAGGATTTGCAGAAGATTATTAGCCCTTTGCTAACAACCGCCCGTTTGAAGGGGTTCTGTGACGTGATAAATGAAAATGCAATAGAACTTAATAAGAGAATACATCGCGAGTGCGTAGATCAAAAGAAGAGATTTCTTTTAAAGGTGTGTTGTCTTTACCTAGGTAACACGGAAAATGTTTAGAAAATGAAAAACCTCTTAATATAGAAAGTACATTAAGCCGTTTTTCGAAGTAATCTCCGTTCCTCTCTACACATCGTCGCATTCGATGGAACCACTGAGAAAAGCAGTGGGCCAATTGTTCCTTAGGTGTCTCTACTATGGCATTTTCATACGCTTTTACCGCATCTTCAGGGCTCGTAAAGCGAATACCTCGAATTTTATCTTCAGTTCTTGGGAATAAATTAAAGTCGCAGGGCGCCAGGTCAGGACTGTATGGCGGATGACTCATCATCTCGACACCTGCCATAGTCAAATATTCAACAGTCCGTTTAGCGGAGTGCGCTGAAGCATTGTCGTGGTGAAGGAGGATCCTGCTTCGAGGGCGCTGCTGTCGAATTTTTTCCAAGACAACAGCCAAACAGCGATTGACATATCAGCCTGCAGTAACTGTCCTTCCATCTTCTAGCACAACTGTCGCGAAATGACCTTTCCGACCAAAGAATGAGGTAATCTCTTTTTTTTCTTGACTTCTTCCTTTCTTTACCTTAGTTGGCCGATCCGCGAAAGGAAACACCCACTGAGCTGATTGTCTTTTGGTTTATATCCAGCTTTCATCACCTGTGACGATGTCAAATACACCATTTGAGTCATCGCCGTTGAACTTATCTATCATTTGGTGACACCAGTCCATGCGAAGGTGTTTCTGGTCGTCCGTAAAAGTATGGGGAATCCATCTAGTAAAAAAGCTTCCTGACGCCTAAATCTTCGTGTAATATTTTTTTAACTTGACTCATACCAACGCCTAGGCTTGCCCGTATCTACTGATAAGTCACTCTCTTATCTTCCTCTATTATGTGTCGCACCGCACTGATGTTATCTTCAGTAGTCGCTATCAAAGGACGTCCCTCACGCGGATCATCATTTGTAAATAGTGGCACGAGATGGGGCTTCATTATGAAATGCTAATCACAGCCTATCATAGCTTTGTTGTTGAGTAAGCCCAAAACGAAATAAATCATTGACCAACAATTTTCTCGCGTTAGGTTCATTTTCACGTGTAACAAGAGTTTTAGATTTGTAAATAAATGACAAATGATTGCAATATTATACTACATTCGGTCACCAAAGAGTTCGAAAATTGAAATTCTAAAAAAGTTTTCATTAGCAATGATTCTAACTGGCCAGTTCTAAACATTTTCAGTGTTACCCACGTACCACGGTGCAACCAATTCCTGTGAGATTCGTTTTTTATTTATGAACACAATGTTATGGACGGCCAATAGGCGTATTATAAGCTTACTTTAGTAATTAATATAATCAGTATAGGTAACCCAAACAATAGACAAAACAGTTTTATCTAATTCCATCCATGCATTGTGAAATATTCTTAAATAATGTTAAACAGACAATATTAAATATTGTGAAAAATTAAACCAGTGTCGCTACAAACTTTTTAGGTATCTAATTTCTGTATTTGTTTCATGATCATTTGTAAATCAAAAAGGGAAGTAGGAGAACAGCCTCCTGTGCCTGACATACGCCGTCGACTTTTTGGATCTAAGACTAGCCCATATCCTCAAGATGTTTTCCTTAACCGTTCGATCGCATATTAAATGTACATAGTCAGAAAGTCCATTGGTACACAAGCGGGTATCGAACCTACGACCTCACGGATAAGTCGTACGCTGAAGCTTCTAGCCACTGCTTTCTGCTCAAAAATTGTGTAGAAGCCTGAAAATATCGATCGAATATTTCATTACACTGGCCAAAACAAGTAAATCTAAAGTCCTATCTATATACCAGAGTTAAAATAGATTAATTATTAGAAAAAGTTTTTATTTTTATATAGTATCATCCAGCCTGGCATAAAATTAAGCATTCAGCCACAGCCGTGACCGGATAGCATAATAATGATTTTTTACAATATTCATCTTAATATATATATTTCTTGTGTGCGTGTGTATGTGACTGAACTCCTCCTAAACGACTGGACCAATTTTGATGAAATTTTTTGTGTGTGTTCAAGGGGATCTGGGAATGGTTTAGATTCACAAATCAGCCCGGCAGATGGCACTGCAGTCGGTACTTTCATACTTTGCTTAATATCCTAATCACTTTAAATATCATGCAGGACAACGTCTGTGGGGTCCACTAGTATTTCTATAAAAATTATGCTTCATACTTCATTTGAAGATTTTATATATTTTTTTGCAAAATCTAGTATTTTTTTTCGATATCGCCTGACGATCAAAAATATGAAACAATCAACCTAAAACTAACATAGTAATAATAATAATTAAAAATAACTTTTAATTTGCTAACTAAAAACTAAATTAATTAAAACTTTATTAATTTTAGGAAATGTTCGTCTTGTTCGCATCTGATACGATTGTAAACACCTTTCTTGGTTTAAAAGTAAGTGCATTACGGGGTGAAAGAACTCCCTTGCAGTTTGTCATAGACGAAATGACGTATTGGAGCGGCCCACGCGCACTTGAACTGTTGACAATACAGTTTCTACCTGCATTAGCTGATTTCTTAAGGTTAGTGAAACATTATTTTGGTATAATATAGTTTATTACTAGCGGACCCGATAGACGGTGTCCTGCATGTTATTTTAAGCGTTTAGGATATTAAACAAAGTATGAAAATAGTAATAGTATCTATCGGGCTGATTTGTGAATTTACACCATTCAGGGCTCCACCCAAACACTTCCAAAAAAAGGGTGCGTGTACTTATGTACGCGCGTAAGAAGTTATACTTCTTTGGCATTATTAAAAATAGTTTTTGATTGCATGCAAATAATTAATTACAATTAAATAATCAAAGACTGGAAAAGGAGTCATTAAAGTCAATAAAGTTCAGTTTACATTTGAAAAATTAATTAAATAAATATTTATTATTATTCTCTTACATTAAACAAATAAAACACTATTTATCTTTAAAACATTTTTATTTCATTATACTATTTATTTTTAAGTGACTCTAATGTCTTCATCAGAATTTCGGTTTGTAATTTTAAATTAATCATTACTTGGTTGTGCATCTACAAGGCTTCTCCAAAACTACTTGCTTTCTGCAACAAATAAGAGAATATTAATTTAAGCTCTGTCCATGCAAAACTTAAAATTTTTTATAATTCATATTATAAATTTTTTAACACATTTATATTAATATAATTATATAAATGTGTTAATAATATAATTTTTAGCACATGCTACAGACCTGGATAGCAACTTTCTTTTATTCTATTTAGAGATAGAGATAATTTAAATATAATACCGGTGTCTTCCTTGTAGGTTTCTTTGGAGTTGTTTGGGGATTCTTGTTGTTCAGTTCGACATGATTTTCTTTAACCTTTCTTTAATCCTACAAAATAATGAAATTGTTAAGTTATGTTGTCACTGTTGTGCACACCTTTGTTTGGCTTTTTTAGTATTCAAGTTATGTCAAAACTGATTTATTACCTTGTCATTGTTGGCTTTATTTGCTTTTGGGATATCAATTGTTTCCAAAATGATTTTATTTGTAATAACCTGAAATATATAAATAACATCTATTAATTTAAGTATCATGGTGAGTGGTTCGCACTCAGGTATTAAGGTGTATTATACCCACTGTCCATTATAAGTGGGAATGGGCTCACTTCTGGCAGGACAGAGTTTCGGTACTACAAGTGCAACATGGATGTTTTGAGGTATTACAATATCTCTAACTACCCTGTAGGGGAATAAAGTAATGTTGTAAGCATATGCCTATGCTTGAAAGGTTGAACCTTGAACATCACCATACATCATATTTATAATTAACATTCCTACCTCGACACCATCACAATCAAATTCATTGAAATCTACTTCAAACCATTGTGTCTCGAGAAGGTGATGGTGGCTTTGTTCCACCTCCAGTTTTTGATGTTTCACGGCGATAAGATGACAACTCTTTTTTTGTATTCAATTTAGTGCACTTCCACTGATTCATCAATTGTTTTTTGTCTCTTGTCCTTATATTTGCTAGATTAAATCTGATGTTTTGATTAAATAATGTGGTCATTTTTTTGAGATGCAGGTACTTATTAAAATGTTTACTTCTCTGTTATATCGCTCCAAGCCTTCATTTTCTCCTTATTAGTATTCGTGCTTAAATCTTTGTTCTCAATTATTGATATATAGGGTCGTAGAATATTTCTAAAAAGTTGCTGTAACAAACGCAATAAACAAAAGCAATGAATAATGGTTCATGTTTCAGTTTTAATCAACAATAATACTCGATAATACATACGGATAGTTAACCTCAATTGTATTGAAGCACTCAGGAAGGTTAGCACAGTTTTTTCACAAATATTTTATATTATTTCACAAATATTTTGTATAATGAAAATAACTAGGTATATAATTATTAATTTTAAACAATAATTAAAACTCCTATATTTGTTTAAAAGGTAAATGTCATTGTCAGATGTCAATTGTCATGGTCATTCAAAATTCTTGTTAAGCTGCTAAGCTAGAATATGCGTGAAGTTAGCTTCACGCATATTCTATTTCTTTTTACTTGTAGTTTGTCTTATTCCCATCTCGCTCGCGCACGCTATATCACACTGCCAATTTTGTGTCATAGGTGCGCGCGCAATCGTAAAATTTCACTCTCATCAATTTTTCATAACGCGCCTAAAGAAGTACAACTTCCAAAAAAGTCATTCAAATCGGTCCAGCCGTCTAAGAGGAGTTCAGTGACATACACACGTACAGTAGAATTATATATAAGATATAAGCTATATAATATAAGCTATCCTATCTTTTAAGTTAGATCAAACTGCATAGCATGTACAAATTTGATTGAAATCGGTTAAGTAGTTTAGGAGTCCATAGCGGACAAACAACGTGACGCGTAATTTATATATATTAAGATATTAAAAATATATGCAAAGTGTATGAGAAATTGGTGGCCTTTTTATTTTTATGACACCTAGATAACCTAACAGGCACGCGATTATACAGATCTGTGGCCGAGAAGCTAGGCAGCAATCTCCCCTTTCCTAAAAACGGACTTTATTTGCTTAAATTGCTTGGCGTCTCCAGAGCCCAAGCGACAAATACTCCGGAAATATCCTCATGATATTTATGGACGAGTTGGAGTCCGCTGACCGGCGGTACCCGCGTTGCCTCCAGCCTCCTGCCGCGAATTTTTCCAGCTGCAATCTGTTCAATTCTGCGAAATTGGTGTTTTAAAGGCGATCATCATGGTTTTTTCTCAGCCATAATATTTTTTTGAACTTCATGAATTCTCCTGGTACACCTGCTGTATAAGAATTTAGCATAATTCACTTCATCGCTTTAATATATGTGTAGCACGGATGTCGTACCCTTGGGATCGCGTTGTACAAAAACTTAATGAAGTTCGAAATGCTGTGAGTACGTACTTGCATTTTATTATAACTATTATTTACAATTTCAGGCTTAAGTTCTTTTCTGCATATGGGACGAGTTACCTGAAGAATCTTTATAAAAAATTGGTTCATAACCGTAAAGAGAGAGAAATGATAGATACAGACATTATAAGCCATTTCATAAAGTTACAAGAGAATGAGAAGTCAACCAAAGACCCTGGTAATTAAAACTATATATTTAGCTAAACTATTACTAAATTTTGTTTTTTGTTTAAGTATGAAGTTGTGTTGCTCGATGTTAATGAAATACGTTTATATTTGAGTGGGAACTGCTTTTGCTTTAGCTGTATTTTTCCAGGGAACCAAGTTGACGAAAACAATTGAATAACAAAACAAAAAACATATGTGCAATTCACACGTGGTAGAAAGTAGTGAATCCTTTAAAATTTAATTTATTATTATATTATTATTAAATGTAATTTTAATTATTAATTTTGATAAAAACTACAATGATTAAACAAGTTTTTATAATTATAATTAGACTTTTCCCACTATATAAATGTAGTAGGTTAATTCTAGACTTTTCTTTAAATTATTTTTTATGTCAATTTTAAGTAATGTACATTGTATAATGCTTCCTATCTGATTTTCTACCACGTTAAATCTTAAGAATATATGTGTCTGTCTCTTATCCGTTTCATCAACTATCAAATCACAACGATTCAAAAAAGAAACTAGAAGTTGAAGTCCATCTTCGTGTTTAATTACGTATTTAAACACTGTTTCAGTACGTTTTGAGGAGCTAATGACATCTCAACTGGGTACCCTCATTCAAGCAGCCATGTTGAATGGACCAGTAACACTTTGTCATTGCTTACACGAGTTGGCTTATCATACGGAAGTGCAGGTATTAATCCGACGTTCCTTAGGTCTTCAAGCTTTGTATTCACAGAAGAAATTTGTGTCATAAATATAATATATTGATTAGCTGCTGCAGTTATCTTTTGTATTGGTTGTTGTACCCTACCTCCCCCAGTTCTACAAATTAGGGCGATATGCCGATTTGAGTATGATCCTTGCTGTCCCAAGGTCCATCCTATATCATTAATGGCCGTTGACGGACTTCAACAGTTGAGCGCGTGGCGGTATGAGGACAAGGCTGCGTTACCTTGTCTTGCCTCGGGCGATTGCTGATGGCGCTATGGAGTTACGCACAGAGAGTCCCACAATTCCCTCCACCGGCAGTCGCGCCGGGGGAGGATATGTGTAACGCATTTACGATAACAATAAAAAACAATTGAAAAAAAAACCAGGCTTAACTTCTCTTCTCTTCTCGCTCTTTTCGTTCGATTTTGAACATTCCTTTAAACTTTATAAACATTAGAGCGTGTTTCTTGGCTTGTTCTTTTCACTGTTATTAATAGGTATCTGTAGAATTAGTTATATTAGATCAGTAAATGATTTTATGAAAAATAAGTATACTTAAATTGGCTAGAAAAATCTTTAAAGCGTTTGCATGGAAATAAATTTCCGACATTATCTATATTGTGTATGTGATGTGTTAAATATTATATACTTTATCATATTTAATTTTTTCTCGACATATCGTATTGGCATGGTCTGTATGGATAACGTATGTATTTCTGTAAATACTTAAATGAATTGTTAACCTTTCTCTTCCAGGATCGACTCCGTAAGGAAGTAAAACAAGGCTTTCGAGAAAATGATATTCTAGACTATGACAGCATTAATGATATGAAGCTTCTCAACGCAATTTTAACTGGTAAATCTTTGTACATACAGCAAGAGAAACGTATTCTTTAAAACTAAATCTGTCTTAAATTAAAATACTCTTTCTGTCAAATTGTGTTTAACATGTGATAAAAAGAGACAGAGTAGGTACTTCAGCTAAAACGGTGCAATAAGATTGATTTGGTTTTTAAAGGGAGAGAAACGGTATATTTTGTAGTTATTATTTATAAATAAATTTATTATTTATAAAAGTGTTAATAAATGCTTAAAAATACACGAAATTATGACGACACACACATAGAATTAGAACATATAAATTATAAAAAAAATAGGCAAACAGTAAAAAGTTGTCAAATATACTTAAGTAATGTCATGACGTTAATTTATGACTGTGGCAATATCTACTATTTAGGGCCTCACATGTCTGTATCTGTTCCGTGATTATTTTTGAAATTATACTTCTTTTAGCGCGTTAGGGAAAGGGGAGCAAATTTTTACGACGCGCGCGCACACCGTTACAAAAAACCGACAAAGCTATAGTCAACATTTTAGTTTTTTCTATTTTAAGTGTCGTTTTTTCTACAAATGTAGGATAAAATTTTTGAAAAGATTTTTATCTTGTTACGCCAAAGAAGTATAACTTCTAAGGCTTGTACATAAGTACACACACAATGCCCAATGGGGATCAGCCTAATGTGACTAAACACGTCCTCAACTTGGGTCTAGCCGGTTTCCCCATGATGTTTTCGTTTATGAGCGAGTGTTGAACGAACGATCTTCTGTAGGGGCACAGAAGTGCGTAGACACAGTTTTTCAAAAACTAATGATTCGATTTTCATGGGATTATTAATATTTCATGGTTACTCATCTTGATATGACTCTTAGTTATGAGAAATTTACTTCTGAAATTTAGCACTCGTGTTAGGAAGCCTATCGCCTTCTTTTGGGTGGGTTAAAGCAGGAGGTAACGGTTGAGGATCACACACACAAGTCTTAAATCAAATTCATCCATAGCATTCGAATTAAACATCGAAATGCAATACAATGTAGCTAACAGCGAAAAAAATCTATATTTTAGAAACCTTGCGGAAATATCCGACTGTATCCTTTCTAGACAGGATAACTACAAGAAAGTATACACTGAAGGAAAACCTTAGTCTAGATGAAGGTACGCCTGTCTTTGTCAATCTCCCTGCACTTCATCATGATGAGACGCTGTTCCCTGAACCCATGAAGTGGTGTCCGGATAGATTTCTGGGCGTCAATACATTTGACAACCGCGACTATTCTTATTTACCGTTCGGAGCTGGACCTCGGTCATGTATGGGTGAGTATAAAGTACAATAATAACGTAATTCAATATATGTATGTAAGTATATTATAATTACCAAACCTATTCCAATTCACTGGGAACTGAGACAATGCCATTTACATCATGCATGTAATATTATCAGTCTTTAATTTGTTTAAGGCAAAGCAAAGCAATGCGCCTCCCTAATATTACTTGGGGTACTACATACAATTCGTAGAGAACGATATAATTTTTTTTAAGGCAGACAAATTAACACTTTTTGGTGATACAAACGTCGGATAAATTTAAAATTATGTCAAATAGTTGTAAATTTATAATAATAAACATAACTTTAATCCGGTAAAAAGCGTTTTTCTTTAAATACAAACTTCTTGTACCTAAGTTTCCTGTTAGCAATGAAATTCCTTTTTTCAAATTTCGTAACTCAGTTTGATGTGTACGATGCATGAATTTGACATTCGTAATTCAAATATTACGATACTATATAATATCTGCTATTATTTTTTTAGGAAAACGCTTCGGCATGCTGCAGATGAAGATCGCGTTGGCTCATGTCATTCAGAAATACAGACTTGAGCCAGATGTGCCCTACATACAAGAATCAGACCCGTACAGCATAGTGTTGGCCCCCAAAAGTGGCGGAAGTGTTAAATTCATACCACTGTAACCTTAAACATACTTTCTTTTAATAAATGGATTAAATATAAATATATTTTTTTTACCAAGGTAAATTTATAAAAATTAAACCAACTTTATTACCTGTTAACTGAAATCGAAACAATATATATATAACTACGTCATTCCATTTTACTTGAAATATTTCAGCCAATTATTTAACAAACCTGTCCCAAAACCCACCAAAATTGTGAAAGAACTACCCGTATGTGTTAAACAGCCGCTTACATTTCAAATGCCCGTGTACGGTTACAGGGTCATCGGGGTTCTTTAAATAATAGAGGATTTTATTTTTACTCTATATTAAGCACTTGCGTGCAACAATAGAATATAAGCGAAATAATGAAGTATGAATTGCTATGTCACGAATGAATGCAATGTTACAGTTGAAGAGAGAGCCTACGTCTGGCTATACTCTCGGGGCGTAATTCCGACGATTTAGGAAATCGTCCACGCTTATAAAACTAAGAAAGCCTGAGTGAGCAAAATGTACAGTCTTGGCTCGTTACAACCAGCTTTTTATTTACGTATAAACAAGATAATTTCAGTTGTTAACTCGCTACAATACATTAGTACAATCAAGACAATGCAATTATTGCAACATAGTTGCGAGCTTCGCTAATTAATGAAACAGTAATAGATAATTTATGAATTACCAGGAAACTTATATGTCAAGATCTATTTTTATTCGTATGTTTATGTTTAACATCGTAATTAGGACGGGAATCGAATAGGCCGACATTTAGGGCTTAGGTAACGATGCAAATATGTTAATAATAATAAAAGCCTTTATTCAATAACAAAATATACATTTATATAATTTTAACCTAAGCGATAAGATTTTAACTACATTTTTTTATAGCATGCTAGTTATTAGCCAGCCAGTTGGTCAGGTTGTCTTTCGATGTCTTCCGCTTGTTGTTTCCACTCGTCTCAAATGCAAATATCAAATTATGCCATTGGGTTACGGTTCAGTTAACCACTTCAACAGACAATTAACTCAATCAACTGTTTGCGAAAAAAAATATTCAATTCATAGGCAACAGTGAACTTATGAACGTCAATAAAATTAATTAAAAAACAAATCAGTGGCGCTATAACCTCTTTAGGTCTTGGCCTCAGATTTCTGAATCTGTTTGATGATCGTTTTTAAATCTAATAGGCAAGTAGGTGATCAGCCTCCAGTGCCAGACACGCCGTCGACTTTTTGGGTCTAAGACATGTCGGTATCATCACGATGTTTTTCTTTACCGTTCGAGCAAATGTTAAATGCGCACATACAAAGAAAGTTCCATTGGTGCACAGCCACTAGGCTAACACGGCTCTGGCCAATAAAAATAATTAAGTTTAAGTTGCTTTTAAGTTTAAATATACTGCTAAAGTAAGGACGTAGATTGGAAGAGAGCAATGGGCAAGAAAGTCCACGTCACTCCGCCAAATAAGGGAGCTGTAACGTACACATTGCCCCTTGTCTTGAAACAATTAATTATTATAATAAAACTATGAAATACCACGTGTTTTTCACAAGTCATCTGCAACGAGATTTAGCGCTTTAAGTGTGACTTTCGTATGCCAAAACCTAGTTTAGTTTATAGGAAAGTTGTACAATTCGACTTGTACGTTTTTTCAGCGCATATAGGTACGAGAACTTAAAATACCCTTTTAAAAAACAATACATATTTATATTTAGAAATTTATTTCCAACACACAAATATACAGTATTAACATTATTCTTAACCTACATAGTAATAATAATAATTATAAATTAATAAATAGAAAATTTAAAAAGTATGAGACTGTGGCAGTGTACCTTTAACGCTGGCAGCATTTCCTCGCTGTATTGCGATACTTATTCGTTGAGCGAGGAAAGCACCAGCTATGGGGTCACCGGTACTATCTACCAGGCGCCAACTTAAATCTAAGAAATTAGAAATTAAGAAAACAACCTATGAGAGCTTCATAATTTATATCTTTGTTAAGGACCGAGAATCGACTGCCTCTGTTCCCGCTGGGTATTCATAAGCCTTCCCTTTGATTACTAATCGTATTAGATAGGCAAAGGTTAGCAACATAGCTTACATACACCCTTATGTAACTCTGAAGCCGGTAGTAACAATTATAAGTTAAGTATATGCACGTAATAAATGAGACGTCACAGAATACTTAACGAATCATTCCACTTTGTCTTCTAATTAAATGTTATGAAACAAAAACTATGCGCTTGGTGCAAAGTGTAAACGAAATGCGATGACCAATTAATAATCTATTTCAAAAGCAACATTAACAAGAACTTTATTCACCATAATAACAAAGAATGTTTAGTGAAAAAAGAAAGTGTACTACCCTCAAAACTAGGATACGCTGTGTGGTGGGCAGCTCGTCTCTTAAGTACCGAAATTGTAAGGTGTACATAGAGCTATCCTCTCTCTTAATTGAAGATAAACACTTCTATATCCAAATAAATGTACCAAACGTAACTCCATAAAATAATGAACCATCTGTACCCGGATAGAGGATGGAAGGGTACTACGGAGACTCCTGGATGGAAACCTCGGAGGCTGATGAAGGCTAGATGGTCTTGAACATACTCCAAGCCATTGGAAACACCAACATCATCAACTGGCAAAAAAAAACAGAACAAGACTAGTCCTTGCTCGACCAGGTTAAAGCCCGATAGGTTGCAGCACCTTAATTAACGAAGGAAAAAATAACAAAAAACCACTAAAGCTACAATTAAAATGTTCAGAATACCAGGGTGCCTTTTTATGATTTTAAAGTACAATAATATAGCCAGGGACATATTTAGATAGAAATATATGCAATCAAAGCTATAATATTTCATTGGCCTAGTGGCTTCAGCGTGAGACTCTCATCTCTGAGGTCGTAGGTTCGATCCTCTGCACCATTGGACTTTGTCTATGCATTAAACACTCGCTAAAACGGTGAGCGGTGACCCATAAAGTCGACGGCGTGTGTCAGGCACAGAAGCTCTATTAGAAATAACAAATGATACAGAAATATGAGGCCTAGATCTAAAAGATCGTAGCAGTATTATCTTGTATTGAGTTAGTCTTATTAATTTGATTATATGTATAATTTACTTCCACGTAAATTCGTTGGCGTAACAAGGAACAAGTCTTTCGTAACGAAATATCTACTTAAGATTATGTTAAAATTCTTTGTAACGTATTTAGGTATTAATTGTGGTTTTTTTAAGACTAACTTCTGTTATTGGGCCTCACATTGTGTAAAAGTAGTACGTGGGGTAGGATTGAGTATTCTAAGTTGAGGCTATGAAATCGTTTTTCCTACAATTGTTCAAAATCAAATACATAAACACTTTAAACTGGCTACTCTGTTATCTATTCTATTTTTTTATTTTTTTATTAACACTTCGTTGCAGTAATACAGAAATTTTGTACAATTAATATAATTAAATAAAAAGGAGGGCGACTAGCGGCCTTATCGCTTTTGAGCGATCTCTTCCAGACAACAATTGTGTGATTTTTTATATTAAACTAGATTAGGTGAGCGCAAGAAGTGAAAAACTACATAAGACATATAGACAAAACTAATGGAAGAAAAAAAAAACCAAGCAATAGAAACATGTAAACAGTGAAATAGATTTAAACAAAAAACTGTCTTAACAAAGCAACTATTATACCCGTTTTAATCAGGTTTTAACTGCATTTTCCATATAAATTTCCCCAAGGTTTTGAATTTTTTATGAAATCACTAGCAATTACTCAAATAAGCGCGTATTAATTGCTTTATTGATGAGTTATGAGTGTTAATTAGAGATTACACCGGCTACGCGTTGCGCACGAGTTGACTATACTTTCCAGAAAGGGGGTTACACACATGCAGGAGGTAGTATAATTAAAAATATCTCACCCTGTTTAGCATTATTTTAAAAGAAAATAAGGATGAGTAAATAATGTATGTCGTGGGCAGCTATTCTCTTCCATTTAACATATTATCGGTACTTGACATAATCAATTCTAAAAAACTTATATTTTATAATTAAACGATTGATCCACAATAAGAATATTTTCCGTTTCAGCATAGGAAAGGTGGAGAAAATTTTGTTTAAGATAATTAGTGAATGAATAAAGTTTTGAATCGTTAGTGAATATTTTGTTTTTAAAAAAGCGTTTATAGATGAATTATGTGCCAAATTCACTATAAAGTATTTGCATCGTGTATAATTAATAAATAATAATAAAAAAATCAGGACTTTAATTGCAAAATAAAGATATGTACATAAGACAGTAACAGTCGCTAAAAAAATCAATGACATTTACAAATCAATCATCGATCTATAAAATATTTGACAGCAAAACAATATATTAATATGCTTATTTTTTTAATTATATATTATTCATGTTTCTCACCGTGAAAAGCTTCCCTGTACTACCACAAATATTTCAAGATCAAGATTAGCCAAATCAGTCCAGCCATTTTCGAGTTTTAGCGAGACAAACGAATTAATTTTTATATATATATTAATTTCTGCGCCATCTGTGTTTAGCAATAGGTAACTACAACAATCTATTTCTAATTATGTATTGTAAAAACTCAAGACCAAGGATGTTGGATATTGAATTTTTCCAATTATTACTTCTAAGTATATTGAGACATTCGGACACTGTATTATTTAAAAATAAGATGTAATAAGACTGTAAATAAGATTAAATTCGTTTTAAGCCCGTAGTTATCTGACAAACAAGAAAGAGTCTACAAGTTATATTATCAAGTTTATTACGTTCGCTTTTTCTAAAAGGTGCTGAGTAGCAGATGAAGCGAGAAGTATGTGTTATGAATAAGTAATATTTGACTTAGCTCTTATAATGCCGGTAATTCCATTTAGAGATAATAAGCAAATTAATTCTGTAATTATTTATTTTCAAAAGCCGCTATTGGCAACACAAAAAGCTAATTAAACTTTTTAAGCAAACGTACACAGTAAACAGTAATACTCTATTTAGTTGA